ACCAAATCTATTGGAATGGTTTATAACGTACCATTAACCCTAGCTCCTGGTTGTGTATTTCATTTAGATTTTGCAGTTATTGAATATGACAAGTCTATGGTTATATTGAGTAATCCCTTCCTTTACCGTCACAAATATCAAATACTCGGGGGTAAGGATTTACTGAAGATCAATTGCAATGGGAAAGATTTTTACATTCCAGTTACGATGCACAAGGTTGAAAATGAGCTTGAGGTACATTGCGCTACCGCATCTCAGAATGATAAGTCTTTGGTACCCGATCAAATTTCTCAAGAGACGGATAGTGATAAGGATGGCAATATACCATTCGAAAAATGGTGTTCTCCTTCGAGTTTTAGCTCAGATTCTGACGATTCGACTTTAAAAAAAAAATGCATGAGCTATGAGGAATTAGAAAAATCCCTATATGCAGTACTCGATTCCAATGTTAAATTAATCGAACTCAATAAAAAGTTGCGGGTTGGCCGAAGGCAGTCACATAGTGGCTATAAAAAAGAATCTGATAACTTAAACGAAAAAATTACCAATATCGGTATAGAGAAAGCAAAAATAGATTAGTTGTAATTTGCTGAAAGCAGTCACTTTATGGCTAAAATCCTTTCTGATTCACGTTCAGCTTCTTCTATTTCTTTACGATTACGTTCGATTAAAGTGTATAGGCCATCTTCCTCTCCCGCTTTTTTTGTTAAGATATTGGGTATATCACCCCCATTGATAATATTAGGTGAATCAGAAATTCGTACAGATTTAGATCTTGGTTTTCTTATTCGTTTGTTTGATTGTGTCACTTTTGCTGATGTATTATCTAAAGCTTGAGACTCTGTATGGAAGATATTCCCAGTGGAATTGGGTGTATTGGTATCACGATTAGAGTCCTTAGCTAAGTTAAGTATATCAATATTTGATCGCAATATCACTTCCCTAGGATCTATTGGAGGATGATTTTCTCTCCATATTTGATATACACGCCTTGTTGATATTTTATATTTGATAGCCATAGCTTCTGATGCGCGTTTCATTGAATTTCTGGCATTAATGATATCTTGTATATTATCATCTGATAAAGGAGTCGCATCAGATCGCAGATATCGAATTATTTTTTCAGAGTTTTGTGTCATGATCTATTTATAAAAAATAAAAAAAAATATTTAGATATAAATTCGAAAGTTTTTCAATCTAGTTTCGATACATATCTAGACTGTTCGATAAATATCCAATTTTGTTTTGATATATCTAGATCATTCGGTTAACATCTAATTCTATTTCGGTAAATATTCGATTTAGATATATCGGTTAATATTTAATCTTCATTCGGTTAACATCCAATTCTATTTCGGTGAATATTCGATTTAGATATATCGATTAATATCTAATCTTTATTCGATTTATTCTTTTTTATTAGTATTTGATTAATATCTTCAGTCAACATTCGATTAGCATGACCACAAGCAGTGCAATAAAAACTTACCATTTTTTGTGTTTCGGTAGAAAGGTGGATAACGGAAGTTTGTGATTTAATTGATTTTTTTATTATATTATCTATTATTTGATATGACATATGTTAAAGATCTTGAGGAAGAAATACATCGTATCCTCCAATCTTCTTCTAAATTACGTAACTATAACAGTGAGTTACGGGATAAATACATAAAGCAAGAGGAGAATTTTGATCAAAAAAGAAAGGGGTGGGATCGGGATAGAAAGAAGTGGAGTAAAAAACTAGGAGGGATTGTTACCGAGAATCAAAACCTGCAGTTTGAAAATGCTAGAAAAGCTATTTCTCTTGCTAATTTTAAATCTGAGATTGATATAAAATCCAAGGAAATTACAACACTTCGGTCTATGAAAAAAATATTAGAAGGTAGATTAACATCGGCTCAGAATGACACAGTCTCAACCCAGGAAGAGATATTAAAAAAAGAATCTGAGATCACGTATCTCAAGTCTGAATTGATGAATTTAAAGAGCGAATTGGTTTTGAAAATTAGTGAACTTGACTGTCTGAAATCGGAGGCTATATCAAAACCCGTCGTTGGTGGAGATGTCGAAAAAAATATGCAGAGCGATGAACAAAGTTCCATAACCAAGTCTGACGATATATCTGCAATTAGTGAACCTATCAAAAATCTCAGTAAATATTTTATACGTAAAAAAAATATGGATCAAGCTGGAAAAATCGATACTATTGTGCTAGATCACACTGATGATAAAAGTACTTCTATACCTGAGGAATCAGTAATTCGAGGCTATGACTCATATCCAAGTGTAGATACTGAGATTATTCCCAATGTAAGTGATAAAATCGATATTAGTAAAACTAATAACAATATACTTGTACAGCCGGAAAATAATATGTCCTCTTTGATTGAATCGAATACCCAGATGGGACCTGGTCCCGAGGCTTTGCCTCTTTCTGCTGTGGCAAGCACTTTGATGTCACCGCTATCAGCATATATTTTTCTTATTTTGTTGATTATCGCGGTTATGTGGTTCGTGGTATTGAGACGTACATGGGGATTGAAGAGGAAAAGTGAGCAGATGCAGGATGTGTGGGCTGGATAATAAGACTATCTATTTGAACTTGGGTATTTTTTATGTATAGAAAATATAATAGTTTTTAATCATGCCTAATATTTGTTGTAGTTGTAAGGAACCATCGTCGCCATTATATACAGATTGTATTGTTACACATTCCTTTATGGTAGTAGGGATGAGATTTCGCGGTGGTCATAAGTTTAAGAAATCAGATACCATCACTCTTGAACTGGAGCCTTCTAATATGTATGATAAGAATGCGATAAAAATTATGGTAGATGGTATCCATAAAGCCTATGTGGCAAAGGACGAGAATGTAAGTATAGGAGATTTGGACGCTACCCTCGTTATCGGGTAAATGCCCATGGAAAAAAAAACTATAACCAATCGGCGTCTTTAAATCTCGAATATCCTTGGATGATTTGTGAGAGATGTCGCGATACACTACAAGCATCGAGGGACTATGACTATAGTTATTGGTGAATCTATTTGAAGTTGGGAGTTATTTATATACGAAAAATATTATTAATAATGTATATGTATCTTAGTAGATTGTGGCGATCTTAGCT